AAAGGAAAAGGCTCTCCTTCCCCTTGCAATAATAGGACATTTGGCCTGTGCACATCTGGTCACCATATAGATTAAAAAAAAAAAATAAGTAACCGAGGATAAACAAGACTTGAATGTGCCAACATACGTGGCCCAGGTAGTAAGCATTCCAGAACGTCTAAGGAAGAGGAGACCATTAACGGTGATGGCTTTTATTCTTCTTAAATATTTGCCTCAGGCAGTCACTTTCTCCAGGGTTATAATATACATATATTTCTAAACACTGACTTAGTGAGTACCTTTAGGGCTTTATGGATTCTTAGAGGATTTTAAACCTCGACACCTTTGTCTAGCTCCAGGGATGGAGGAGGGATGAATCATGGCTGTCCACACAGTTTGTAACATACTTAAGTGAATTAAACTAGGGAAATGATTAAGTGGGGGGTAATTAGTGCGAATGGGAAGAGCAGTAACTTGCCTTTATTAATAGTGATTTTTAAAAACTGAGTTTTGTGGTGGGAGTTTTATTAATATCCTTAATAGTATCAGTAGCGCTTTCCTATTTAATGGCTAAAGAGATAAAGCATAGAGATGAGCTGAATAAACTGAATGAAAGAATAATTTTAGAACAGTGCTCTATTGTCATAACAAAAGACACACATGCACAATGACACATATCTAAATGTCTATATCTACAACATATAGGAAGGGGAAAAAGAGAGAGAAGGAAACAAACCAGGAAACAGACTCTTGACTGAGGGTTGCTGGAGGGGAGGTGGGCAGGGGGATGGGTTAAATGGCCATTAAGGAGGGCACTTGTTGTGATGAGCACTGGGTGTTGTATGTAAGTGACTAATCACTGAATTCTACTCCTGAAACCAATTTTACACTATATGTTAACTAACCAGAATTTATATAAAAATTTGGGGAAAAAATGCCTGTCTCTAGCTGTATGGTTGTTATTTGCTAGTTCAGGTAATATACTATATAAAACAAGCTGCTTAAGTATATGCATGCACTTGTAAAAATATTCACTAAGGTTTTGTACCTGTTGAGCAATGCTAAATTGGTGGTAGTCTACACCTGAAAATTCTGGTGATACTTCTCCATAGCCAATAATAGGTGATGGTAGGAAATTAATAACCTGAATATCCAATTTCACCCTGCCTGATAGACAGCTCTCTCTCTTTTTCATTCCTCCACATATGCACAGACAGACACAGATATATGACAGAACGATCATTACAAAACTCGGTTTAAACAACACTTTCAAGGATTCAACTGTGCAAACCACTGTTCCAGGTACTATTAGAGAAAAGAAATGCACAGACGAAAACTATGCACAATTCCTAACACTCCCTCTACTTTCTGCAGGCAGGTTTGACCATGCATGCTTGCCCACTGCATGATCTTGAACCAGTTCCTTATTTTCTCTGTACTTCATCTTTTTTTTTTTAACCTATGAAATGGGAATAATAAGAATATCTACTTTTACGGGGTTGTTAGGAGGATTTGTGGGAAAATGTGTATAAAGCATTTTGAACAGTGCCCGTACAGAGTAAACTACTATTGTTGTCATTATAATGATAATATATTGTTATCTTGAAGATCTTATACTCTAGAAGAGAATATAGACTTACACATTGCTAAGTCTAATAGAAATTATCAGCAACATAACAGAAGCATAATCACAATGCTCTGCAAAACAGGTACTTTTTTGTTATGGTTTGTTTTGTTTTAAATACAACACCCTAAAATTAGCCTTGGGAACAAAAGAATAAACCAGGCAGAGTTGATTATTTTTCCAGGTTCTATAAATACTATCCCCTTTTGCCACAAAATGAGTAATGATGTCTTTGAAACATCAGTCAGATGCAACACAGAATTATATATGAGAAAGTGGTCTAGCTTTTGAATTCTGCAAGTTGGCCTGCTCAGCAGAGGGAATTCCAGAACAAAATGAATGAAAAACTAGAATGAATAGCCCTTTAAGGGTCCCCTCTATTTCTGAAATTCCAAGATTCCAAGGTCAAGACACTTAATGGAGTTTCCAGATATAAAAATAAGACAATACAGAAAAATATCTTTTTCAAATGGTAGTTCCCTCCCTCTTTTTTTTTTTTCCTTGTCATTTCTCAATGATCTTTTGAAAAACTGGCCTTGGAAGAGAATTGACATTTACCTCATGAAGAAAGAGTAGTTACTTTCAATGAGTTGGGTCACCGAGGGAGGAATTCTATTATACAAAGTCCTTGCGGAAGTGAATTCCTTATTGATTCAGTCTGTGGTCTAAAGTGGAGGTGCATTACTGCTATAAACATCGGGGTGCACGTACCCCTTCGGATCCCTACATTTGTATCTTTGGGGTAAATACCCAGTAGTGCAATTGCTGGATCGTATAGTAGCTCTATTTTCAACTTTCTGAGGAACCTCCATACTGTTTTCCAGAGTGGTTGCACCAGCTTGCATTACCACCAACAGTGTAGGAGGGTTCCCTTTTCTCCGCATCCCGCCAACATCTGTCGTTTCCTGACTTGTTAATTTTAGCCATTCTGACTGGTGTGAGGTGGTATCTCACTGAGGTTTTGATTTGGATTTCCCTGATGCTGAGTGATGTTGAGCACTTTTTCATGTGTCTGCTGGCCATTTGGATGTCTTCTTTGGGAAAATGTCTGTTCGTGTCTTCTGCCCATTTCTTGACTGGATTATTTGTTCTTTGGGTGTTGAGTTTGATAAGTTCTTTATAGATTTTGGATACTAGCCCTTTATCTGATAGGTCATTTGCAAATATCTTCTCCCATTCAGAGATCTTGCCATTTGCAATGACGTGGATGGAACTGGAGCATGTTATGCTGAGCGAAATAAGTCAATCAGAGAAAGACATGTATCATATGACCTCACTGATATGAGGAATTCTTAATCTCAGGAAACAACTGAGGGTTGCTGGAGTGGTGGGGGTGGGAGGGATGGGGTGGCTGGATGATAGACATTGGGGAGGGTATGTGCTATGGTGAGCACTGTGAATTGTGCAAGACTGTTGAATCACAGATCTGTACCTCTGAAACAAATAATGCAATATATGTTAAGAAAAAAAAAAAGAAGACGATAGCAGGAGGGGAAGAATGAAGGGGGGAAATCGGAGGGGGAGACAAACCATGAGAGATGATGGACACTGAAAAACAAACTGAGGGTTCTAGAAGGGAGGGGGGGTGGGAGGATGGTTTAGCCTGGTGATGGGTATTAAAGAGGGCACGTTCTGCATGGAGCACTGGGTGTTATACACAAACAATGAATCATGGAACACTACATCAAAAACTAATGATGTAATGTATGGTGATTAACATAACAATAAAAAATTAAAAAAAAAAACAAAGTGGAGGTGCATGTTGACACAGAATGGAAGCCTTGTGCCATTGGTTAGTGTAAGGAAATGACAGGGGAAATCATAGCAAATACACACCTTCAAAATACAGGGTAGGGGTATACATAGGACTAAGCGTTGTGTTTTAATTATGGTGAAGGGAGGATGACAAGGATGGAAATCAGGAAAAAACCCTAATTGAAATTTGCTAAAGGTAATCTTTAGAAATATTGGCTAATGTCTACCACGTCTTTTGCTTTTTTCTAAGGAAGCCAACTTGGATGAGAAGCTCCTTTTACATGTTTTGCTTTCTCAGGATGCATTCATTCATCAAAAATGTATTGATTATTTATTATATACAAGCCATGACTAAGATAGACAAGGACTCAGCCCTGACCAAAGTTACTTTTTAGCTGTGGAAGTGGCGAGAGAGAAAAGAGAAGAGGGGAAAGGAGGAGCATGGACAACCTAGAGTGAAAACCCATGAATGATAAAAACTTGCTGTACAGCCTTATATTCTGAGCTTCCCCACCGTATTCCTGGATAACAACCTGGGCATATATTCAACTGATTTCAGTAGTAAGACAATAACATTTGCTAAAAATATAAGGCCATCAAAAATATTGATAAAACCCTAAAGGGAGAAATTTGAGAATATTATCCTCTTGAAAAGGGAAAAGATCAATGTGGTGTAATTTGGTTATGATGGAACATTCTTCCCACTTCCCATGGTGGATCATGCAGTGCATCAACCATTTAAATTACTCCTCAGATAGGACCCTGACTTCAGGATTTATAAAGGAAGTATTTTCAAAAGAGGTCATTGCCTACACAATTCCTTTAATCAACAGTCAGAGGATGTACTCAAGGGATGGTGCCAAACTTTCTTCATGAGGACTGTGAGGGCACACGGCTCCCCTAGTCTCCATCACTCCAAAGGGTAAGAGGATCAAATGAATTTTTAAATGCAGATTTTTGGATTATACAGTTCTTTTTCATCTTCTGGAAAGTGATTACGAGACTTAATCAAGATTCCTCTGTGTATCATTAGCTAATTTTAGCTTCATCCTTTTTTATTTTTTTATTTTTTTTACGGTGAGTTTGGGAGAGCCCAGTTTTAAGTCCTCTGTGGATTTCATGTTTTTCTGTTCAAGCCGTGAGGGAAGCTAAATTAAGAAGTAGGAAGATAGTAATTAAAAGTGATTAGGACAAGAAGTTTTGGCGCTAAGGAATGTGGACTCCACTCTCCCTGTCACAACCTGAACCAAGCGGCAGTTTTTGGTTTTGATTATGGCCTTACTTGGTATTTTAATAAACATGAACCGGTATTCAAACTTTCAATATCCTGCTGCTTAACTATTTCCAAAGAGACATCCAGCGCTCTTAAACAGCCTTTGTTTTAAAATTTTAATTTGTTTGGCTCAAGGCTCACCTTAGAAAGTTGTAGCCTCATGGTCAACTCTTTCATAAGTTGATTTCCAGAATCTTAGGCAATTCCTTTTTTCTCCCCTCCCAACTAAGTGTTTCCTCATGTGCCAAAATTGTTGGTGCTGACAGCTTTTTTGCCTTGTTTTATCTGGTTCCCACAGTGAGTATGAGGGGCAAACCCAGGAATGTGCTCCGTGTTGACTGGACGCATCGCTACTACGGGGATACTTACAACTCCTCCAGGAAGCGGAGACTGTACAGGGGATTCGGGGGCAGCTGACTGATGTTGTTCATACTGAGGTCTCTGGAGAGGAAAATAGACAGCACGTGAGGGGCGGTGTATGCCACCACAAGGGAATCCAGCTGTTCCCTTCGCACATTTTCAAGCAATACAGCCCAACGAACTCATTCTTTTGCTTGACAAATGAATTGCTATTTTGCATCTTAAACATATTCCTTACCAGCGCCCCACCCCCCACCCCACCCATCTTGGGCTTTCTATCAAATTAGAGACCCTAGGAGGAGCTTATATGAATTCAAAATGATTTAGACCATTCATGGGCATGCTGGTAATCCTTCATGTTTAAAATTATGTGAGTAGGACAGCAAAGGAAACAGACATAACTCAACCCTAGACATAACCCAACTTCATGTCTTGCTTTGAATTTTGTGACAAAGAGAAATGTCTTCCCCATGCAACTCTACAAGTCCTGCTTCTGTGGGGCTATAAGCACTTTGTAAAAACAAATGTTTTGATTCAAAGAAACTTAAAAAAAACAAAACAAACAAGACAAAAAGCCCATTCCCTCCTTCTAACATGTTCCCTTTGCAGGTTCTCGGATTGCATTAAATAAGTGAAATGAACCATAAAACAAGGGTGTAATGTGATCCCGCTCCATAGCACACTTCCTGCTGGGCCTGCACAGTAGTTCCTGGCACAGGAAACAACAAGCCACTTTGGGCAGAACTCAATCAATTTTTGTTTTAAGGGAAACTCCATGTAATTAGATTTTATTCTGCTTTTACTTTTCTATTTCTTGACTGTCTCCCACATAACCCTGCAGCATCACTGATATATGCCATCTGTATCTCAGAGGACAAAAGACTGGCAGCGGAACAGACTGCCATCAAGACCAGCTAAGACTTTAGGTGATAGCTGAAAGTTGACTTAAAACATGACTCATTGCTCAAACCCGTAGGTTCAGATTCTGTTCAAAATTCATTATAATCTCAGCTCAGGTGTACATCCTTAAAATTTACCTCAAGATAAGACAATGAGCTTCTTTTTATTTATTATTTTTAAAAATTGACTTAATAGGCATATGACATTGTAGTAATTTTAGGTGTACAACATAATGATGTGATATATGTATATATTGCAAAATGATTACCGCAGTAAGTTTAGCTAACATTCATCACATTTACATTTTTTTCTTGTGATGAGAACTCTTTAAGATTTACTCTCTTAGCAATTTTCGAATAAGCAATACAGATTTGTTAACTATATTCGCCCTCCTGTACATTACATCCCCAGGATTTATTTATCATATAATTTTAAGTTTGTATCTTTTGACCACCTTCACCTATTTCACCCATTAGCTGTTTAAAAAATCCAGATTATTCCTGTTATTTAAGTGACCACACCCATAGCATCTAACCCAGCTGATGTCAGTGTAGATTGCTTGGTTCCTTTATCAAATATTAACCTTTAATCACTGATGGTAAGAATGGAGGGATTGATCATTTACTCTTTAAAAAGTGATTAAAAAGTCACTAGCATGTACAGGAAGATAAAATATTCAGTTAAATGTTTCAGAGTATGGTAAAAAAACAATTATAAATTTTAATATCCACTACTGAACAATGATACAGCTGAGTAACATGCTATATTCTTAAGCTAAAACTAAACGATGTCAAAAATATACACCAAAAATTTTGTATATCCATATATTAAAAATCTGGAGGGGCACCTGGGTGGCTCAGTTGTTAAGCGTCTGCCTTTGGCTCAGGTCATGGTCCCGGGGTCCTGGGATCGAGCCCCGCATCGGGCTCGCTGCTCAGCGGGGAGCCTGCTTCTCCCTCTCCCACTCCCCCTGCTTGTGTTCCCTCTCTCACTGTCTCTCTCTCTCTGTCAAATAAATAAATAAAATCTTTAAAAAAAAATCTGGATTGTTTTCTGGCATTGTCTAGGTAAGAGTGACAAATAATTGATTAGCAATTTAAATTTTTGTGCAGGTATTTCTCTGACGTAGCAAAGTTGTTTAGTTCACTGAATAGACATGTATTAAATGAATCAATCAAGTTTTTGGATTCCTCACTGGGACTATATAATCCCTGCAAAGACTTGATATTTCTCAGGTACTCACTTATTTCTCATCGATATCCAACTTATCTCCTAAAAGAATCAAATTGGTTTGCTTTTGGAGCATGTTTAATAGCAACCCAGATCAAACCAGTTTCAACATCAAGACAACTGGTATGGATAGCACTAAGTTTCCTCTCCTCTTACACTTTTCTGTGTGATGTGCAAATCAGTTTGGGACAAACAGCACTCTTGTCTATATGCAGAAAGCTCTAAATAGAACGAGGAAATTTACATATTAAGGAGATTCATAAACATTCCACATGATTTTAATACTTATTATCCTATTTCAGGTTCCTGAAAGTGAAGCTTATATAAGCCTCTCAGGGTCCCCACTGGAACACTTTCTATGGCAGAACGGGGGAAAGAGCAAGGCACTGTCAGGGTATAGGGTCTTGGGTTTGATTCCTGACCTCCCCATTCACTAGCTGCATGATCTTGGGAGAACTAATCTCTGTGTGGCAGGCTTCCTTTTATTTAAACTAGGATGTCTCTACATTAATAGTTTATGCTATTGAACTCTTGCTAGCTGTTTCCAATCAAAAGAGAGTGACTTAACTTATTTCTTAAAAAGAGAAATATCTCCCTTTCCCAAAAGGAATTAATAACTTCTCTGTGTTACCTGATGTTGGGTTCCTCTTAGAAAATGAGCAAATACTGGGTGGAGGGATGGGTTAGCCTGGTGATGGGTATTAAGGAGGGCACGTATTGCAATGAGCACCGGGTGTTATACCCAAATAATGAATCATGGAACACTATGTCAAAAACTAATGAAGTACTGTATGGTGACTAACATAACATAATAAAAATAAATAAAATAAAACCGTAATAGGGAAATTGCAAAAAAAAAAAATAGATGATAAATAGCAGAATACTCATTATGCTCAACCTATATATTAGTGATTTTCAAACCTGGCTATATTAAAGTCAAACTTGGGGGGAAAAAAAGAAAATGAGCAAATACTGCTAAACCATTCTTTTACCACCTGTTTTCTAATAAGTCTGTTTTCTTGTTTATTTGAGAGAGACAGAAAGAGTGAATGGGAGGGAGAGGGACAGAATATGAAGCAAACTCCACGCTGAGTGCAGAGCCCGATGCAGGACTCGATCCCACAACCTCGAGATCATGACCTGAGCTGAAACCAAGAGCTGGATGCTTAACCAACTGAGCTACCCAGGCACCCCAAGTCTGTTTTCTTTTAAAGAGCTTCTAAGCAATGCATATAAGCCTATAGCAGAAAATAACTTTCCATATCAACAATCTAAGGTAAAATGAAATAGGCCTCTAAAATATAAATTCAAAACAGATAAGCTAAAAAGGAATTTGTCTGCATTTACTTCTTTCATTCTGTGTTCACCTTTGCATTGATGTTCAAATGGAATACTGGTCCTCTAGCCTCCCAAACTAGACTATCCATGGTGAAAGACCAATTTTTAAAAATTTTGAATTTGCTGAGTGTTTATAATTAAAAAAAAAAATTAATTACTAGGAAAGGGAAATAAAAACACTAAAATGCATAAAATAGGAGCTCAATATTTTGTTATGTGATTCAATATGGATTATTCAATTACTATAAAAGCTTCTACACCTTTAGTCTCAAATTCTTATCTATTGCGGATTAGTAAAAAACAGCCATGTCCTGGGAAGGACACTTTCCTGGACCACTCTTTGATTAACAATGCTCTTCTTGCCTTTATGTCAATTTTGAGTTAAAAATGATAGAGTGAGAACAACATTAAAACTTTGTACTAAAATATTCTTTTTCTTACTTAAATTATATGTAAATTTTTCTTTTTGGTATTTGGTCTTTCTGACACCTGGTCTTTCTGAACACATATAACCTTAGCAGCAAATCAGGAGGTCATAAAATAATTTCCAAACATGCAAATTATTGATTTTTTAAACTATGATTTTAAAAGGGCGTCCCATATAGCACCACATTTTTCTCTATGATTCAGTTTCCTAACATTTGTGAAACAATGTAATGGATTTCTTTAATTTTTTCATCTTTTGCCAAGATGTTGGAATTAATTTTGAACAAGTGGTCACTCTGTACAAAGATTTCATAAGACATGGAGGAATCATTGTGACAAGATGGTCAAATATGTTCAACCTTTCTGCCCTGTCTCTGACCCTGCTCTTGCCGATACTGTGTTAATGACCATGTCTGGGAACCTAGAACAGGGGCTGCAAAGCTCTATGGGAGCAGTTGACTCTATATTGGAGTCATCTCAGGAGCTTTATGGAATACTGATGTCTGGGTCCCATCCCCAGAGTGCCTAAGTTGATTGGTCCAGTATGGACACTGGGATATTTAAAACCTTCTCCGGTGATTTGAATGTTCAGGCAAGGCTTAGAACCATGGCACAGGAGCAACCCTGAATTCCCAGGTGAGGGCTCTGAACTCTACAACTCACTCAGAGTTTAGGAGGCCTAATTGTTTCCTAGAAATAGAGTTCCGTCCAAAGTGAACAGTATCTCTCTCTTGCGAATATCTTTGTTGCTTGCAGTTTTATTGTTTTTCTTCATTTGACAAATGTGAGTTGAGCGTTAATGGTGGGCAGGTCTAGGGACACAGTGGAGAACCAATCCAAGTCATCTTCAATTTTTCCCTTTTCTGCTGTCCCTACGTCCATAAAGACACCCAGTATTAATTCTCTAGGGCTTTCTTCTGGATCTGGCCTCCCTTCCTTCTTTTTGGCTGCTTGCTACCTTTGGTCAGGTCCTTGTTATGTGGATAACTGTTCTGCTCTCCCTGCTTACTGTGTCTCCTCATACTGTGTCTAGGTCATCTTCTATACCATGGCCAGAGAGGTCACCCTGAAAAGACTATCTATCTGATCGTCACTCCACTCAGAGTCACTGTTAGCCAATAAAAAAGGCAACCTCTCAGGTGCATCCACAGGAAAAGGGGCGTGATGAATTACAGAAAAGATCTTCT